CCCCCGTCCCTTCCCTCCCCCTGCACCAGTCAGCATCGGGGGAAGGAGTGAATGGCGAAGAACGAAGGAAGGAACTGGGTGGGCGGCTCTGGGCCTTGGCTGGGCATCTGTGCTCTGTCTTATGTGACCCAGGACGAGCGAGCGAGTCCCTCTCAGGTGCACATCCCCGCCAACCGCCATCGGTCCTGAGAAGCCTTCGCAGGGAGGGGCCAGGCTTCCGCTGGAGGCGCACAGGCTGCCGGCCAGGCCCAGGCTGCAGTCCGGGCTCAGCTGTGGCCTCTCAGGCTCCTTATGGGGAGGGAGCTGTGCCCGGGAGCTCCTGGCCCAGGTCCCGGGAAGGGCACACAGAATGCCCACTGCCCCAGGGCTGGGCTGGGCGCGGGAGGGGTTCTGGGGTGCCACCCAGGACGGCTGGCCTGTCCACCGGCAGGCCCTCCACCGCTCACCTTCAGGTCACTCGGGAATGGCCGTCACCCGAGGGCAGGTCGGAGGTTGGGGCAGGATGGCCTGGAGTTTTGGGGGGCAGGGCCGGGCGGAGCGGCTCCCAGGGGTGGGAGGGCACTGACTTCAGGGGCTCCAGGAGGCCAGTGGCTTCCGAGCTTCCGAGCCTCCTTTGTGATGCGGGGGGGGGTCCCCAAGGCGCCGACCCTCTGCTCCCTCAGCGGGTTCCGTCTGGGCTTGGTGTGGGGGAGGGGAGCAGTTCCCGGGGCCCCGGGCCCCCTGCCCAGTGGGTGCCCCTTCCAGAGCCTCTGGCCCTGACCCCCAGCCCCTCCTCCTTTGCTCCTTGACCCCTCAGCCCAAAGGGGAGGCAGCCAGACCCTTCCACGCTGCCACCTGGTGGGCTCCTTCCCCTTCCGTCTCCAGTGAGGGTTCGGGGGGCCCAGCCCAGCGTAAGGGGCGGTGGGGGCCCTGATCACGATGGGAGTGGGCAGGGCTGCCAGGGCTCAGATCCTCCTCTGCCCCCGGGGACTTGAGGCTCAGACCCCAATTCCCAGGGGCCAGTGGCCCTGGCTGGGGTGGGGGTGGGGCTTGGTGGGGCCGGGTCAGAGCTCAGCTGTCCTGCTTCAGGCCCCATGGAGATGGGCCCGGTGGTCGGATCTGTGCCGCGCTCAGCACGGCCAGGGGTGAGCCTGGGGGGAGGGGGGGAAGGGGTGTGAAGGGTTAAAGAAGACAGACAAGAGGATAAAGCTGGGGCTGGGTGGGAGAGACAGCTCCACGGCCTGCAAGCCGAGTCTTTATTTTATAGCAGATTCCACGAGGCAAAGCCAGGGCGGGTCAAGATGTTCACAACGTTCTCCCGGGTTTCGAATCCACTCAGTCACACGCACCTGAACTCTATCAGCTTTGTTTCCTTGCTGCACCTCCCGCAGCCCACATCACTCAGCCACCTGGGGCCACAGGTTCGGACCATACGGTCAAGCTCACAGCCACAGCCTTTGGCTGCAACGGTGCTGGGAGGGACCTGCCCGCTCATTAGTCCGAGGCTTGAACCCGTCCAAACGCTGGGGCCGCTCTCCACAGGCTCCTCCCAGGTCTCCGTCATCCGGCCACCAACTCGGCCCATCAGCCGGGACAGGAGCCGCTCCCCTGCGAGGTCAGTCAGGGGAGAGCGAGGCGGTGCGCGTGTGGGAGAGCTGTGCTCAGGAGACACCCGAGGGAGCCGGGGCGCAGGCAGGGCGGCTCGTCTCCGAGCCGAGGGTCGGGGTGACGGAGAGGTGGGTCGTCACCTCTGAACCCTACAGTCACTGCTTCCGGGTCCCAGTAAAAGCGTGGACCCGCTTCCATAGGTAATGCCTTCTCACCAGGAGCCATGCTTGTTACTGCCTGATGGACTGGAGAGGGGGGAGGGGAGGGGAAACACGTTCCACTCACGATGCCTCCAGTGGCTGCTCCTGGCGTGTGCCGGCCGGGGTCTAACCCGCAACCGGGTGCATCGGGACCGCGCTCTACGACCGGGCCACCCGCCATGCTCACTAGCCATTCTTTTTTTCTTCTTTTTTAAACAATGGCGTGTTATTTTATTTTTAAAAATATTTTTATTGATTTCAGAGAAGAAGGGAGAGGGAGAGATAGAAACATTAATGATGAGAATCATGGACCGGCTGCCTCCTGCACACTCCCCACAGGGGATAGAGCCCACAACCCGGGCCTGTGCCCTGACCAGGAATCGAACTGCGACCTCCTGGCTCCTAGGTCGATGCTCAACCCCTGAGCCTCACCGCCGGGCAGCCGTTCTTTCTAGGACATTCTCGCTATTTGGCTCTCTGGTGCGGCTTCTGTCCCCTGGGTGGCCCGACGGATAACACATTGATGCCAGGAGTGGTCCCTGTCACCAGGCCCTAAGCTAGGATGTGGGGGGGCTTGGTTGTGTCCTGGGGCCTCAGGTCCTTGGCAGGCGGGTCCGTGGCACGTGCATGAGGTCAGCCGTGCAATGGCAGCCGCAGGATGGTGCCGGGCGGCCGAGTTTCCCGGACGCACTTACGGGAGAGACGTACCCGGGATGAGCACTGGAGGCACAGCAAGCAGAGAGCAAAGGCGGCCCCGCGGGAGCCCCATCTGCGCACTCAGGGCTGGCGCTGCCCAGTCGGCCGCAGGCTCGCTCCTCACGCGCCGAGGCAATGCTGGCTCATGCAGACTCCTCTCCAAGTTGCTTGTGAAGTTGGGGCTGATGGGGAAGGAACGGGGCCCTGACACTGGGGAGGGGGCGTCTGGTCCGGCTCAGATGAAGCCGAGAACCTTGAACCCCCGAGTCTGCGGAGCCCCCTTCCCAGTGGAAGCAGCTTGTCCTCCAGCGTCCGAGGAGACCAGCCTCTTCTCGTCACCAACCCCGTGAGGACCTCGCAGGCGTCGGGGGCCTGGGGGGGGGGGCTGATCCTATTCTCCCCCCCCCCCCCGCCACCTGCTATAAGTAGGGCTGGATCTCAGCGTGTGGGGGGTGGGGGTGAAGAGCAAAGGCTGACCCAGGAGGACACAGCCTGTGCACCCCCAAGTTGCAGGAGTTCCCAGGTCCCACTGAGAACCCTGGGGACTCTGTGGGAAGAGTCCAAGGGTATCGGACCCGGGCAGAGGGGTGCCACGCGGGGCTGGCTCTACCAACACGGGCGCACCCGCCGGAGACGCTGAGTGGACTGCGCTGGCTCACGCCAACTGCCCGAGTGACTCTAGCCGCTCGTTGGTGAATGCAATCTGGACCGGACGGTGGTGGATGAACTGGCCCGTCCACTCCCCGGCACCGTCTGGGCCTGGGCCTGCTGGGGGCGCCTTCTCCTTCCGCCACGGGATTGTCCTGTGAGTTGTGTCTGCCCCGGAGTCAGTCAGTCACACAGTATTTCCCTAGGACGGATCCAGGTCACCCGGGCTTTCAGACCCACGTGCACAGAGTTGAGAAAAGTAATCTCGTAGCTTCTTCCAACTTCCTGTTACCCTGTCCTTGTCACCTTTCAACGCCGTGTCTGTAGTGTAAGTGCCTGACATGAAGCTGCTGATGGCCATTTCAAAGGACACGCATCTCCAATAAACATGCTGCCAGCTGTGTGCCAACAGCCACAAGCCAGAAGTTCCCCTTTCAGGAAACTGGGGGCCCAGGTAACTGACCTTGCAGGTGACCCTGCCTCCAGTTCCCCGAGACACAATTCCCTCTCTAATGTGCCAAATCGGCCAATAACCAGGGACCCCAGCCGCCCCGCCTTGACCCAGTGAAGGCGGAGCGCCAGCCCCGAGCTCGCCCTGCGGCCCCGATGTCCCGAGCTTCCAGGACCTGTGAGGAATGAATCTCGTTCCTCAAAGTTCCCTGCGGCTCCTGCTGAGCCGCATCCTGACGGCACAACCACAAGGGCCGCAACGGGGACGTGTCCGTGGAGCCCGCAGGCAGCGCAGGCCCAGGGAGCGCCGGCCTCCCCAGCGCGTGTCTTTGATTTTCCTTCTTTGTTTGCTGGTGGCTCATCTGTTTCACTGTATTTTTGAATAATCACATCTTCGATTTAGTCCTCCTATTTTCCATTCCTCATTTACTCCTTCCTGCTTTTATCCACGCCTTCTGCGTTTGTTCAGGGTCTTTCCCTAACTTCTCGAGTGGAAGGCGTACTTCACTCGTCTTCTGTGTTGCTGCGTAACTTCTTGGGGTTCAACCTCCGTCTGGGACTCTAAGCTGAGTCTCTCCCAGGCGTTGCACTTCCCGGACGGATGGACGACGTTGCCTGGGGCGCTGGGAGCTGAGACCCTCTGCAGGAACCCGCCCCGAGCGGGGGTGTGGCTCCCTCTCGGCCACGAACTTGAACTTGACTGTGACCGTGTGTTGCTGTTGCACCTTCAGCCCCTGCTTCCGAGATGGGACGAGGCTACTTCACGGGGTCTCGGGGGCCGGGCTCCTTGCCTCCCCAGGAGAGAGGGTTTCCAAGGAAACAGGAGGGGGTGTTTCACCCACAGAGGAAGCTCCGTCCCGGCCCCAGCGCGGCCAGACCAGCAAGCAGCCGGCCCTCTGCTCCTCTGTCCGGGCGGCTCTCTGCGCAGCAGGGAGGAGGGGCCACACCGTCACCATGTTGGGTGGTGGGCGTGGGCGCTGGGCTGCCCGGGAGAATGACTCGATGAGGATGGGGCTCAGCCGCAGGCCCCAGCCGGGGTTTCGTCTTTGGCTCAGGCCAGGGTCAAAGGCTGCTTCACGCCGAGGGAGGGGCTGCACCAGCTCCTTAGGGCCACCAGGGCTGGCCTTCGTCCTGTCCAACCTGCTGGCCCCAGGCCAGGGCCTCCAGGGCCCAGCCTTGGGGATCAGGGCGCCATTGCAGGGAGGGGCTCTGGGCTCCAGGCCAGCGTAACTCCCTTCTCTCTGCCGACCCGTCCACCTCAGAGCTGGGAGGGTGGGGTCAGCACCTCCCTGGTTAGGGGGAAAGGACAGGGTGGCCCCGTGGCTGGGCCTGGCTGTGCAGGTCAGTGGAGCCGGCAGCCCGAGGCTGCCTCCCTCCGGATTCTCGCCTTCAGCCTCCTCAGGCCGCAGTGCTCGGGGTCCACCAGGAGCCCGCTCTCGGCCGTCCAGGA